AACACCTTTTTCTCTACTAACTGATCTATTAGAGTGCATGTATCTATATAGTGTAACCAAAACCCTTTTGTCATCGATCGAACGAAGAGTGCACTTACCTGTTGGGGTCTCATGATCTTAGTGTCAGGATCATCCAAAGACTCACGCCAGTGTGACAAGTATCCAGCCATACGCGGGACTGCAAATAGGACTGTGAAGAATTCTGGTGGGAATCCCATTGCCCTGTCCAATTCAATTACCAAACACATCAGATTCAGGTACAGAACTTCTTGGTTACAGCTTATATCAAAGACCTTTTTTTATTGCAAAGACGAGTACGCTATGTCTTACCTATAGATTAATCCAGAGTAGAAATCGACATTTGGATAAAGCTTTCTCTTCACAAAATATTCATCAGAGAGTGCCGCCTTCTCTAGAGCAACTGCTACCTGAAAACGTCATACACACAAAATTTTCCTAAACCACAATGTTTATATTTATAATACAAAAAGGATCTAACGTACCTCAATCAGAGGATCCCTTCCAACAATGGAGAACACTTCATCCGCCAGTTTCTTAATGACTTTTGCTCTCGGGTCGTAGTTTTTGTAAACACGATGTCCAAAACCTGACATCTTCCTCTTTCTGAGATATATGACAAAGGAATTTAACATTAGTGGCATTACTCATCAGAGTTTAGATCATTAGTCTTTAGTTAGAATGAGAACTGGGTGACCTGTTCTTCACCCCTTCGATGAACTCTGGAATGTTTTCAACACTCCCAATCTCTGATAACATCTTAAGGACAGCCTCGTTCGCACCGCCATGAAGAGGACCGTACAGGGCTCCGACAGCTCCCGCAACAGCGGTGTACACATCAACACCACTGCATAAACACAATACAAATTCAAACATACATCAGAGCATACTAAATGAATCTACTAACCAGTGGTAGGTAAGTACCTAGAGGCAAGATGCCGAGCAGCAGCAGTGGAGCAGTTCATTTCATGTTCAGCGTGCAGTATGAAGAGGATGTCCATCACTCGAGCCAGACGAGGATTAGGCTTGTAAGACGTATTACCCCTGGAAAATGAAAGAATATATCTAAAATGTCTACACCAAGTGCAGAATTTATAATTATTCTCTACAATTCAAGTGTCTAAGCCAATATAATGAGGATGAAGATGGTGGCGTACATTGAGTCCAGCATATAGAGGAAATTCTCTGCATAAGAAAGGTTGCCAGAAGGAAGAACAGGAGGCCTGCCTGCCATCCTCAAATAAGCAGCCGCTGCAATTGTTGGAGCCTGCAAACACCTTATATATTATGATATACACGTACAAAACTTGTTTGTATTTTGAAAGTCCGGTTATAAATTACGGCAACAAACCAACAGAAACAACAATACCTTTCCAAGAATACGAACAATCTGTTTATCACGAACTTGTTTTGACTTGTAAATATCTTGGCCCTGCATCCAATCGAAATTTCCGTTTAAATGAAGAAGACAAACAAAGCGTATGGGCATGGATTTTTCAGGAAAAGACATATAAACAATACATAAAAGAAAAAGGGTTGTCGAACTTACCCTAAGAGCAGGATTTGCATCAGGATGAAAGATGGAAAGTGCACTCATTGCACTCACAAGAACGCCCATTGGGTGTGCATCATGAGGCATGGACTGTATGATTTCCTGCAAAAACATACAGAAATAATCTCAGGTCATTTTTTTTTTTAACCAGTGCCAATAATCATCAGACCCAGACACTTAATAGTTTCAAACAGAATAGAAAACCCTCGTTCAACCATAATGTTGCCTCCAATACTAGTGTTATGTCATTAGACAGTCACTCCTCATAATATTACATACTGAATTCACAATAGTGAGTAAGGCATATAATGCAGTATCCTTCATGGACCAGATGAGCAATCTATACTGGAAAAGCGTTTTCAAAATCCCTCTTTGTTATTGTGACTTACACTTTGAATATTTACACTAGTATGAAGATTACTACAGATGAAGAAAAAAAGTAGAAAAATATACCAATACACCTTGTGGGACAGCTGAATGCTGAGAAATAGTGAACTCCCAATCAGCTAACTGACTTTGAGTAGGCAGATTCCCATACACTGCCACAAAAGATGATAACTTCATCTCCCTTTCAATAGCAAAGACTGCTTATGCCTTAAAACGACATAATCAGTAACATGAAACAAGTGACTTACTGAGGAGATAAGAAACCTCAATGAAAGTACTGCTCTCAGCCAACTCTTCAATTGGATACCCACGATAACGTAAAATCCCTTCATCTCCATCGATGTAACAAATCGAAGACCGGACAGGAGCCGTGTTCAAGTAACCAGGATCATACAACTTAAGCCCCTTGTCCTCCTTCCCTGTCGTAATCTGCACGACACAAAAAAAATGTAATAATTGGACATTCCGATTCAAAATCGATTTTACAATTCGATTCAGAGATTTTACAATACTACCTTCTTGAGATCAACGGCTTTAACGGTACCGTCCTCAGAGACTGGGACCTGATATCTCTTCCCCGTGCGCTCATCGACGATCGTCAAGCTTCCCTTGAGCGATCCATGCGGTGGTAAAGCGCTCGACGTGCACCATGGCTCGATCGCCGGCGGCAACACCTGGATCGATCCGACGGGATCGGATACCGCTAAGTGCGCAGTGAGAACGGCTAATCTTCTCGCGGAAATCTCCATTTTCTTCACCTCGACAAAATATTCAGAATTCGAACAAGAGTGACGAAGAAGAAGAAGAAGAAACAACTTCGGGTTATATTGCGGGTGGGTAACGGATCCGGGTTTATCTTGAGATCGATTTGTTGAGATGATGACTCAGCTTTAGATCGACGGTTGTTTTTTTGGTAACTTAAAATAGAAAGTCCAAAGAGTCTTAACTGTCAGATTTTATCCGATTCGATTTAAAACTTTCCTTTCTCTAATCCAACTATAGCGCGGCAAGGAGATAGGAAGGAAGGCGTGTTAAAAGAACCGTAGAAGTTGATTGGCTTCCTCGGGTAGCTAAATATCTATTCGATAATGGGCCAATGTATTGGGCTCAAACCGAAAAGTCTAATCTGCTTTAGTTATATATCTCGGCCATTAGCTCTATATCTATCTATATTATTATTTAAGAAGTAATTTTGCTGAAGTGTCATGTATTCCATGATTTTAGGCAATTTTCATAATTTTTAGTTTCAAATCATATTTTCATAATATTTCCATTCATACTTAATACTTATCTATATGTTTTTAATTTTTAGGGTAGTTTGATTATGGATTGCCAACGTACTTTGGAACATTCAGCTGAAGCTTCACAATCTGATGGATTAAAGAGTAACGGTACGTTTTAGGTCATTTATATTTATTTATTCTTTTGCTACAAAGATAATTTATATTTAAAGTGTTTGTTATGGATTTTCTTATTCGTTTTTGGTTTTTTCAGTAAAGTTTTAAGTTATGCCTCTTTATTATTGTTATTTAATCATTCACATTTAGGAAAATGAGAAACTTTAGGAAAAATTACTTCTAACATGGTCAAATAAAAGGTATTATGTACGTCAATTTATTTAAATATATCAAATCTATGTATTTATTCCTTCAGGTATTAACTAAACTGCCGTTACATTCATTATTCCAGGAATCACTCAAAATTTCCAAGTTAGTTTATACTTTACACCAAATATACATCAATAAATATGAATATGAAGTAGTTAATTCGTAAAAGTTCTATCATCTGAATACTACATGGCCATGTTAGGATCAGAAAACAAAACCTTTTGCATTATTTTATATAACAAAATTGTACACAAAAATAAAAATAAAACTTCTAATTAAATAAAAAAACTAAGATAGCATTAAGTATTTGCCATATTAAGATAGCTCAATTTTTTAATAATTGTTATTTGCATTATAACCAGATAAACGTTTAACAAAAAACTATTTCTATTGGAACAAACTAATCACTGCAAAATTTAAAAGAAAAATCATATATTTACTTTAACAAAAGGAGTTATATATAAAAAGTTAATATGAATCTATAAAAATATGTACTACTTAAAAATAATGATAGTAATGGTAATAATGCTCAAATCAAATACACATATTTTGAGAATCTAAGTACTTATAAAAATAATGATAGAACATATCTATCTTTTATTATTTTGTATTTTAACAATATTATAGATAATATATATATTTTATAAGTGGTATTTATCCTAATCCATGCAATATTATAATATTCTGCCGACTCTAAGATAGTATATATATTTCTCAGCAGACACTTGATAAACAATAGAAAACAAAACTTCTCAGCAAAAATAATAACTTCTCAACAATGTCTTTTTGGAGAAAAAAACTTGCTTCTCTTGTTCTTATTGGAGAGATTGATCCTGCTAAATATTGTTATAAGATTAAAGTCAAAGTGTTAAAACTTTGGAATACATGGAAAATTTTGAAAATCGTTTGGATTGAATTAGTGTTGGTTGATACCATTGTAAGTATTTTATTTTTCTTCTTTATTACTTAGCACTAATTATGGTTTAGTGTTACTGATATCTTTTTGTAATTTTTTCTAGGGTAGAGGATTGATGCTTCTATTGATGAACGTTCTCTTAGTAACTTCAAATCTAAGTTATCTCAAGAAGACTCTTTGTTCTGAGTAATTTCACCATCGGTGATTATACAACAAAATATAGAACGAATCCTCTTCCTTTTAAGAATCACTCCTCGTGTCTACGTTTGGGTAGCTAACAGAGAAAATCCAGTAACAAGCCTCACTGCTAATCTCACAATCAGCAGTAATGGAACTCTGATCTTGCTTGATGAGAAACAAAAAATTCTCTGGTCATCTGGACAAGAAGTTCTCACATCTAACAAATGTCGAGCTGAGCATTTAAACTCTGTAAATCTTGTGGTCGTAGATAACGTTACAGGAACGTATCTATGGCAAAGCTTTGAGCATCTTACAGACACCATGCTTCTCCGGCGAAACCATGGCGTCCGTACCGAGAGGCCTCATTTCTCGCATCAGCCACCCTTCTCCCTCGCAATCTCTACCCGTTTGTAGTTTCTTTCTCCTCCAACGATTCAGCTCTGATGCTAGGGCCGTCGAGGGTATTGAATCCGATATAACCGAGGTTCCGTATCATCGAGGCAAAACCCGGTGAGATGTCCCAGAGCTCCAAAAGGACAGGGATCATCGCCGTAAAGTGTGGGTTGACTGCTCTCTGGAACAAATGGGGAGCTAGGGTTCCTATTTCTATTCTCTGGGTCGATGACAGCATCGTCTCTCAGGTCAAGACCACTGAGAAAGAAGGGATCTTTGCGTTATAGGTAGTTTTTCATAAGCTTTGAACGTCTTCTTTTCCATGTTGTTGTATCCCATGTTATAATACTCCCACCACGTTCTGTGCAAAAAACAACAGTTCCAAACGCTTGTCTGACATAAAAAAAGGGATCTAAAGATATATGTTTTTTATTTTAAGTTTACCAGTGTTTGCAGCAATGTAAAGAACTTCATTGCCTACATTGTCGACAGAGAATCTGCAATAGGCAAACATCTCATCCTGCATTATTATATTCAAACTCATTACATTTAATAATTTTTTTTTTAAAAGTTTGTATACAAAGTTATGAGATACAAATAGCAAAACCCCACTGGCCTTCTCTTTTGATAGACCGGCAATGGCAGCAGAAGACTTTACGTCCCAAACTCGACAAAGTGGACCTCCAAGTGACACAAGAAAATATTATATTCCATATTCTAAAGCTTAAAATTAAAAACTAACACATTAAAAATATTATATACCATTAATTATCAGCCTGGTGAAAAAAATTTATACAAAACCACATTTAATATTGTTGCACATATATTTCCCGCACAAGGTGCGGGCAAGTACCTAGTATGCTTATATTTTGTTAAAAAAAACGCGGCACCATGACCGTTTAATCGGCGATTAGACGCAAATTATTCCCTCCCCATAGTGATTTGGGGTAGAACGTTCTAAAACGCAGAAACATAACAAAACTCAGTTTTTGTTTTAAATTTTAAACTTAAAATCATGTTTTAGAATGAAAATTTATCATAATTGGCCAAGAATTTTAAAGAAATAAGTTGAAAACGGTAAGAATCACGAAAAAAACACACAGAGGCGGCCTTTAGGATTTTTAGTCGACATACTTTAGGATGGAGTTTAACTCAGTATGCCCCAAGCCCTCTATAAGTGTTTGGTTTTGTACAGAAACGTTTGAATAATATAGTAAATTGGATTTTTAGGTTCTTTACTAAGAGAGGAAAAAATGTGATCATTAAATCAATGGTCACAGCTTTACCGAACCATGTGATGTCTTGTTATCGGTCAACTAAGGAAACAACAAAGAAATTGATGAGTGAAGTGACACGATTTTGGTGGAGCCCAGGGAGAAGCATAAAAGGAATGCATTGGCAGTTATGAAACAGACTATGTCTTAACAAAGATGAAAGAGGTTTGGGTTTTGAGGATCTAAATGATTTTAAATCGGCTATGCTGGGTAAACAGCTATGGCGCCTCATAGAGAAATCACACACCTTGTTCGCACGAGTTTTTAAAGGACAGTACTACATGAATGCTTTAACCCTCGAACCGATCCGATCATACTCCTTGTCATACGTCTGAAGGAGTATGGTTGCTGCTAGATCTCTGGTTAGCAAATGACTTATCAAAAGGGTAGGATCGAGATCTTCCATCTCTGTATTGAATGATCATTGGCTCCCAACCACTCGTCCGAGACTAGCAAATAAAAATCAACATGACTTTTACCCGGAACATACAATGGACTCTCTCATCAATGCGAGCTCGCGAAGTTGGAATATGGACGCAATTCGAACGTTGGTGGATCTTCAGGATGTGAAACTCCTAGGAAGCATACCACTCAGTAGGACTCAGATGGAGGATCGGGAGAGATGGAATTTCACCAACAATGGAAAATATACAGTTATATCAGGATATAGGGTGGAACGGATACATCCAGATAAAGAACCACCACCAGTAGTCTTGGGACTCACAATTGACCTACTAAAAGGTTTATGTTGAAAGGTGAGATGTCCACCGAAGATGACACTTCTTATGGCAACTGAATTCAGGATGTATAGCAATTAAGAAAAAATTGTCATCAAAGGGGATACGAGACACTTAGTGTGTCCGCTATGGAGCGAAAGATGAATCAGTTAATCATGTTTTCTTTGAATGTCCTCCAGCAATCCAGACCTAGGAATTATCAAAGATACCATCAAATCTAGATAACTTCCCCACTAACTCTCTTTTCACAAATATGGATCATTTATTCTCGAGAGTACGCGCAAAGATGGACGATCATCAGTTTACCTGGATTCTATGGTATATCTGGAAAGGAAGGAATGGCAAGATCTTTAGCAATCTAGACATTGACCCTAGGGACAAGCTCAAATTAGCGGAAATAGAATCAACACTTTGGGCTGAGTCTCAGGTGCCACATCTACAAAAGGAAATAAAATAGGGGGCTGCTCTTACCCTACCATTAGGCCTGGGCATAAAATCCGAAACCCGAAATCCGAACCGAACCCGAACCGAAAAACCCGACCCGTTATCAGACCCGAAATGTAAAAATACCCGAACGGATTTTAAAGGATGGTATAAAAAATCCGAACCCGAAGTGTTATTTAACCGAACACGAACGGGTAACCCGAAATATCCGAAATTAATAGTTAATATAAATATTATATATATATATATATATATATTTTAGATATTCAGTTTAATGTTTATTTTGATATGATACATACAATAAATATTAAAATATAATTAAATACCTTAAATAGATAATTAGTTATAAATAAGTACTTTGTAATTTATTCAGTAAAATAATAAATTTAGTTTATATGTAAGGTAGTGCACATTGTTTACAAGGGACCTATGTTTTAATGACTGATTTAGCATTTTTTTATCAATTTTATGTATGTATGATTAATTTATATTCAGTTTCAGTGTTTTTCTTTATGTTTTTGTTTCGAAATTTTGTTTTATAGTTCAGGTATATCCGAACCGAACTGAAATAACCCGAATCCGAACGATATATGGTTACTTTACGGGTTTTATGCTGCAATACAAATTTGAACCGAACCTGAAGTGTTATTATCTGAACCCGACCCGTATTAGTAAAATATTAGAATGGGACCTATGAGCGTAAACCCGGAAATCCGAAAATCTGAAAAACCTGATCCGAACGCTAACGGGTACCCGAACGCCCAGGCCTACCTACCATCAATCCCAGGGCGTTGGTGTTTTACTGATGGGTCATGGAAAGATAAAGAGGTCTTTTCTGGACAATGTTGGTATAGCACGCCATAAGGTTTTGGGGGATTGATGGGGGCAAGAAACGTTAGGGCTAGTGGCGCCCCTCTTCACTCAGAAGTAGAAGCTTTAATTTGGATTATAGAATGTATGAGGTATTTGCGGCAGTAGTAGGTAACTTTTGCAACATATTGCTTTTAATTGGTGAAGATGGTTTCAGAACCAAAAGAATGGCTAGCGTTTGCAACTTATCTAGCGTATATCAAGATGTTAAGGGAAAGCTTTTGCAACTCAGAGATCATCAATGTCTCGAGAGCACAGAACAAAAAGCGGATAGTCTAGCACGCATTAGTAGGAAACAAGCATCTTTTGTCGTTTACATAGATGGAGAGTTGCCGATTTGGTTCACAGAGTCAGTTTGAGTCTGTTATGTTGAAGTTAAAAAAAATTATATATATATCTATATTATTAAAACTGAAGTACCTTTTGGTACTGTTTGGAAATAAGGATAGCAAAATAAATGAAACATGGTTTGGAAACATGGATAGTAGATTAAGTATTTTGTTTTATTTGTACATTTAGCCATTGTATTTAAAATAAATGAAATACTTTCCTTTTGTATTTCTTTTTATTTACAGATTATGTCATAGCATTTAAAATCAGTTTAAGTTAATTAATTTCAATGATTTTCTTTCTTTGTGATGAAAATAAAAACACAAACCGAAATATATAGTATACATTATATAAAATAATTTTTAAATATAATATTACCTTATTTAATTTAGTCAAATATAAATTGTGTGAGTTCAATTTTAAAAAAAAAATATCATAAAATTAATGATAATTCATAGAAAACTAATTCAAAAAAATAACTTTTAGTATGTTGTTTTATTTTAAAATAAATTAACAAAAAACAACATGTTAGTATATGAATAGTACGATTACATCAAATTGCATCAAGTTATAAAATTTCTAATATACTACTATGTACAAATAAAAATTATTATTAAATATTTATATTATAAAATAATATATTTTACTTTATATGTAAATTACAAAAAATAAAAAAAAAATTGTAAAAACCCAACGGTTTATGAATTTACGTTTAACACAAGTTGAATCAAACACCCGCACGGGGGTGCGGGTCAAGTTCTAGTATATTATTAAAACTAAAATACCGTTTGGTAATGTTTGGAAACATGAAAACATTATAAACTAAAAGTGTTTGGAAACATAGATAAAAATGTTTTTAATACTTTATTTTATTTACACATTTAGTCATTGCATTTACAAGCAATTAAATACTTTCTTTTTGTATTTTTTTTATTTACAAATTCTACCACTAATTTAAAATTATTTAAATTAATTAATTACAGTGGTGTGGTAAAAAAACTGAAATATATTATATATATTATATAAACTAATTTTTAAAAATCATATTAACTTATTTATTTTAGTTTAGTCAAATATAAAATTTCGATTCAATTTTTCAAAAAGAAAGTAATAAAATTAATAATAATTCATAGAAAACTAATTCAAAAATTTAGTAGGTTGTTTCATTTTAAAATAAATTAACAGAAAAACAACAGGTTAATATATGAATAATATAATTCATCAAGTTATAAAAATTTTAATATAATATTATGTACAAAATAAAAATTATTAACAAACACCTATATTATAAAATAATATGTTTACTCTATATGTAAATTACAAAACATAAAAGTATACATGAGATTCTTTTATGAAATCAATGGTTTAGGATTTTACGCATAAATTAAATCAAACACTCACGCCAGAGGCACGGATCAAGTTCTAGTAATCTACTAAAAGTATTAGACTTTATAAAATTTAAAGGTAAAACCAATTTTTTTTTTCTGAGACTATGGATGATAAGTTGGAATATAAGACTATTAACAACGTTTTACATGATTCAACACCCTATTTTCACTTTTAACACTCTACATCATTTTCTCTCTCTTTTGGCTAATCATTCAACACTCATTTCATTTTTAGTCTTTAAAA